TGGAGCTGCTGGAGGTGCTGCTGGAGCTGCCGGTGCAGCTGGTGGTGCTGCTGGAGCTGCTGGAGGTGCTGCTGGAGCTACCGGTGGAGCTGGTGGAGCTGCTGGAGCTGCTGGTGGAGCTGCTGGGGGTGCTGAGCGGCCACGGCCGTACTTCGTTCCGCTCCTTGAGCAGGTTCTTGGTCTCCCGCCTTCTCCTGCTCCTCCCCCTTCCTTAGAGTGTCCACCGCCTGTCTTGTCGCCGCCACAGCTACAACCCACCTCCCCGCTGCCTGCTCCGTCTCCGTACGCTGGTCTGACAGGAGGTCTTGCTGAGCGTCGTGAGCGTGCGTCTCGTCCTGCGTCGCCTGTTAGTGCTGCTCGCGCTAGTCGTCGTAGTCCGCGTCCTCCTCCTGTTGCTGGCACGCATCGGATGACTCTGCGTCCTTCCACTGCTCCACAGCGTGTCCCTCTACCGTCTCCTCCTGAGTCCTCTCTTCCTACCCTTGCTGACCCGGAGTCTGACTCCCTTCGTGCTGCTAGTCCTACTGTCACGCGTCTCCTAGCCACTGTTGTCACTGACCCTTCCTTTGAGTATGCTGCTGCGTCTGCGCTGGTTGCCGAGCTTGTCGACTTTGCTGCTCGTTGTCGTCTAGACTACGCTGCCAGTCTTGTTGCTGAGTCTGAGTCTGTCTGTCCTCCGTCCGTCGGGGGTGAGTGTGCCCTTGGCACGGACGTCCTTGAGGACAAGCAGGAGGAGTTCCAGTGTTTGGCTGCTGCTTCACCTCATCTCGTGTCCATGCTGCTTGCCCCTGAGGGAGACCCGGATGCACTAGACATCCCGACTCCGCGCTCTTACGCAGAGGCGGTTGAGGGTCCCTACTCCTCTCAGTGGCAGGCCGCCATGGACGCAGAGATGGCTTCCTGGAAGTCCACAGGCACCTATGTCGACGAGGTTCCCCCACCTGGGGCGAACATTGTCGATGACATGTGAATCTTCAGGGTGAAGCGGCCGCCGGGTTCTCCGCCTGTCTTCAAGGCGCGTTACGTTGCTCGTGGCTTCACTCAGCGGCAGAGAGTTGACTACTTTCAGACCTTCTCTCCCACCCCGAAGATGACCACTCTTCGGGTACTGCTGCACGTCGCTGCTCAGCGTGACTACGAGCTTCACTCTCTTGACTTCAGCACAGCCTTTCTACAGGGCAGCCTGCACGAGGAGATCTGGCTGCGCCGCCCACCTGGCTTCACTGAGTCGTTTCCCCCTGGTACCCAGTGGAGCCTCCTACGGCCATTCTACGGTCTCCGCCAGGCACCTCGTGAGTGGCACGACACACTGAGGACTACACTTGCGGCTCTTGGGTTTGCTCCTTCTACTGCTGACCCGTCGCTGTTTCTACGCACCGACACTTCACTGCCGCCGTTCTACATCCTCGTGTATGCCGACGACTTGGTCTTTGCTACTGCTGACACTGAGGCACTGACTCTAGTGAAGTCGGAGCTGCAGAAGAGACACACGTGCACAGACCTGGGTGAGCTGCGCAGCTATCTTGGCTTGCAGATCACTCGGGACAGAGCACGGTGCACCATCACTCTGACCCAGTCACACATGGTGCAGCAGGTCCTTCAGCGCTTCGACTTCCAGTTCTCCTCGCCACAGTCCACTCCTCTGCCTACTGGTCACTCGCTCTCAGCTCTGCCTTCGGATGAGTCCGTAGAGCCGAGTGGCCCGTATCCAGAGCTTGTGGGCTGCCTCATGTACCTGATGACCTGCACTCGCCCTGACCTCGCTTACCCTCTCAGCATCCTGGCACGCTACGTTGCGCCCGGGAGACACCATCCAGAGCACTGGAAGGCAGCTAAGAGGGTGATGCGTTACTTGTGCAGTACGTCAGGCATGGGGCTCGTGCTTGGAGGACGGGGTCCAGTTGTCCTCACTGGTCACGCAGACGCTTCTTGGGTTGACGACTTGGCTACGCAGCGGTCGTCACAGGGTTACACCTTCAGCCTTGGCTCCGGTTCTGTCTCTTGGCGGTCTACCCGCTCTTCTTCTGTTCTCAGCTCTAGCTGTGAGGCTGAGATCTACGCAGGGGCCATGGCTGCACAGGAGCTGCGTTGGCTCACCTACCTGCTGACCGACTTGGGCAAGGTGCCTCGTTCTCCCCCAGTTCTGTACGTCGATAACAAGGCAATGATTGCTTTGTGTCGCGAACAGAGGTTGGAGCACAGAACGAAGCACATCGCTCTTCGCTACTTCCTTGCTCGGGAGCTGCAGCAGCGTGGTCAGCTTCGTCTTGCCTACGTGGCCTCTCAGGCCAACACTGCTGAGTGTTCACCAAGGCACTTTCGCCTCGTGACCATCGGCGCTTCTGTACTGCACTTGGCCTTGTTCCTGTGTCTTCTCACTTACTTACTTCTTGACCTTGCCTGTACTGTGATCTATATTGTATACCTGCATGCCTACATTTGTTAGGTAGTGATCACTGTACTTTTGCTTTTGCATATATATTTCTGCATGCGGACTAGCCCTTTGGCCCTTTGCTTGTGCTCAGATTGTGTGGTGACGTTGTGATCCACCCTGAGCTTGCTTTGCTTCTCTTGACTGGTCTTGTGACCCCTTGTTCTCCCCCACTTTGCCTATGGGGGTGTGTCAAATGATATATATGTTTAGGCTATAGTGGGGTAGCCAATATGGGGTACAGCCCCTTTTTAGGGTTTCATATTTGTACCAATCTCATTTCATAGTTCATTCATGCCTGCCTACTATCTTCACACACCTAACAAGCAAGATAACTACACTAAGTCTACATTGCTGGCAGTTATAAAGTAATGTATACAATTACATTCTGACAAGTCAAACTAACTGCAGTTATAAAATTTCCGGCAGCCTTCTGCATAGTTAGCGCGTAGCACAATGGTTATAGTTTTGGTAGGAGTGCAGAAGGCCTGGGTTCAATACATGAGAGGCCACTCAGGACGCGTTGAAAGTGCAAATATCGCAGGATCGTCTGCATACATCGATCCCCACAATCGAATGGGCAGATCGTTTGGCGAAACGTGGCGACCGCGACATTGTAACGATCGCGGCTGAAAATTGACAGATTTCCCGCGAACAGTGATCAGTCGCATTCTCACACTGTACAAAAATTATGGCCAGAAAGCGTACTGTAGCATGGTTACAGCGTAGTTAATAGGGTAACCAATCCGCACATCAATCGCGACTGACGATCGATCGTCTACTTTCACCGCGTCCTCAGAGTTGGATAAATCAGATCCCTGATTGCCCAGAGTTGGATTTTCAGAAGTTAAGTTTTCTCTGACAAATCAGAGTAACGCTCATAATGAACCCTGAATTTCAGAGTTCCCTAGAAAACAGCTCTGGAAATCCGAGTAGTGAAAATCCAAAAAAAGCCCTGGCGTGCAGGGCGTGTGGGTGACACGGGAATGGCGGATGGGTGACAGGGGTGATGTTATAACTGAAGGATCGCAGTGGATAGGATAAAGCTGCTAAGTATACGAGAGAGCTGTGAAGTCTCTGTACTGACCTTGTTAATAAATTGAGAGAGAACAAAATGATTAAAGGATAGTGATACAAGGAATACCGTATTACCCCGGATATAAGCGCACCTGCGCTTAGAATAAAACATTGTTTTTTTGGGGGGTGCGCTTATAATTGAGTAAAAATTATAAGCGCATGCGCTTATAATATAACAAATAGAAATATATATTTCAATGCACCAAATTGTACATCTCATCCTTCAGATTTCAATCGAATCGAAATTGTAGAAAGTCACATGTCAAAATCGCGCGCGGGCGATTCTTCGCGAGCGCCCAGAGGCAAAATACAGTGTAACACCTCACTTTGAGGGCGTGCCAGCTCGTGCTGACTGGACGCGCAGGATGTGAGAGGTCTTCGAAAGTCAATGTAAGCGAAAATGGGTTGTGGCATCGCTGCAAAACTGAGATTCGTTACCGTTTTAATGAAGAATTATAAATAAAATTACACATGCGCTTATAATATATCAGGGTTTTATAAGGGGTGCGCTTATAATTGAGGATCGGCCATAAGCGCATTGCTCCAGATACAAGCGCATGCGCTTTTAATAGGCCTGCGCTTATATCCGGGGCCATACGGTAAATAGCAATCCTAGCTAGCCATGTACTCTGAGGGGTACATTCCCTTATTAACTGAATTACATTGCTACAGTAACCACGACTACTGCTATTCTTGACAGTTACCGTGTTGCAGCGCGTAACTACCGTATTCTCCCGGACATAACACCCGGGGGTATTATGATAACCACAGGGAAAAAAGGTGGGGGGTCCTCTCAACGGAAAATCCTATATAATACCCGGGTGGTTATATATGGTATATCTTAATGCAAGAGGATTCTTTAATTAGACAGTTTGGGTGTTTCAATGGTCGTTCTAACATCACAGTTTGAGGCGAGAATGTGAGTTTTGGCGAGAATGTGAGTTTCACCTTTCGGGCCACTTGCAGCGGAAGATTCACCAGCGTGGCGACTTCCTAGAATGTGGGATAGGGGAAATGTCCACTTGCAGTGAAAGATTCGCCAGGGTGGCGACAGTGAGATTGTGGGAGGGGGAAATGTCGGCGGATTCTAAGTGCAAGTACACGCGAAATTTCATCTAGGAAGCAATTCTCGCGATATTCTCCTGTAAGGAATCAGACTCGATAACAGCTATAATAGGAATCCGTAAGAAAAGGGGGGTGTTATAGAAAATCATCCAAAAAGGGGGGTATAGTAGAAGCGAGGTCGCCCATAGCACCCACCCCGCACAAGCTACCCGGGGGTGTACTATCATGGGGGGGTGTTTTGTCCGGGAGATTACGGTACCAAGTGCGGTTACTGGGCAGTCAAGGGTCACGACCGTTGACTGTCTTCAACTGATGACCTTCGGGTGAACCCCGACCTTCCGCATGCTCTATATGAGTTATTACGATACTGATACAGGCGCGTTACTTCGTTATGGAGTGGCGCGCGAGTGGAGAGCCTTCGGGAATGTTATGATAACCTTTCGGTTATTCCAACAAGGGGGAAGGGCGGATGGGTGACAGGGGAAGGGCGGATGGGTGACAGGGGTAGGGCGGATGGGTGACAGGGGAAGGGCGGATGGGTGACAGGGGAAGGGAGGATGGGTGACAGGGGAAGGGCGGATGGGTGACAGGGGAAGGGCGGATGGGTGACAGGGGAAGGGCGGATGGGTGACAGGGGAAGCGCGGACGGGTGACAGGGGAGAAGTGATGAGTGCTCGGTGATCAGTGCGTGCGTGTGGTGGCGACAGAGGATGGATGTTAGTGGCTCGACTATGCACGGCTGGTTGGTGGTTGAGGGGAAGGAGGAACACTGGCGATGAGTGATCGGTGACGGCAAGTGATGTTTGCTTGCTTTAGGCTGGACTATGAATACCTAGGGAGGGGGGAGAAAGGGCATGGGGATGGGAAAGGGGAATGGGATGGGGATGGGGATCGGGGCCGGGATGGAATGGGGATGGGGAGAATGATGGAGAGTGGTGGTTGCTCTATTCACACCTAGAGGGTGATCAGATGGAGGAGCGCCAATGAGAGAGGCTGGTAAGACAGCCCAGGAAGGTCCGGAGGGAAATGCGTGTGAAGCGGGTAAAGAGGCGGCGAGCAATGGGAAAGGACGGAGGAGGGATGTGGCAACGTATAAGTAGATTTGTTTTCAAGCGCAATGAGCACATGGGAGAAACATTGCCACTGGGAGGGGCCAGTAAGGGGGCCAGGAGGGGCCAGAGGGAAATGCGAGACAGGTGGTGAGAGAGAGAGGCAGTGAGTGATGGGAGGGAGGGGGTGAAGAAGCGAGTGATGTTGTAAAGTGTCGGTCCCTGTTAACTTGGATAATAACATGGCGGGGCATTCGCAGGGCATGCAGCACGCAGGGAGGGTTGGGGACCTTGAAAACACCAGTGAGTCACCTGGAAATGACATGCTACTGGTGACCGAAAGGTGACCCACCGTTGACCCACTGGTGACCCACTGTTGACCCACCGTTGACCCACTGGTGACCCTCTGTTGACCTATTGGTGACCCTCTGTTGACCCATTGGTGACCCTCTGTTGACCCACTGGTGACCCTCTGTTGACCCACTGGTGACCCTCTGTTGACCCTCTGTTGACCCTCTGTTGACCCTCTGTTAACCCTCTGTTGACCCTCTGTTGACCCTCTGTTGACCCACTGGTGGTGACCGATGATGAGCCCACGACCCTCTCACCACCCACGCACCTTCCTCACCCAGCAGCGAAGAGCAGCAGTGGCCAGCACCATTGAGCAGTAGCAGTGACCCTTTATAGCCCACCTCCTTCCTCACATCACGCACCTCCCTCCTCCCGTTGCTTTGTCCGTGAGCAACAGCACCACCACGGGGCACCCAGCAGCCCCGCAGGTCGCCCTTGAACAGCGCGTCCGCACTGCAGGGGCGGACGTCGGCGGTAGGAGAAGCAGGTGCGGAGCTGGGGGGGGGGGAGAGAGGGGGGATGGAGGGCGAAGCGAATGCTTTGTTGAACAGTGTGGCCGTGTTGCGAGGTTGGAAATTAGAGGGGCAAAAGTAGGTGTAGGAGGAGCAGGTGCTGAGATGGGGGGAGGGGAGGGGGGTGGAATGGGAGAGCGGAGAGGGGAGCAAAAAACATCAACACAGTGATTTATGAAAGGGGTACTGGAGACAGTGAGGTCAGGGTGCGAGACCGTGCAGTGGGGCAGAAGTGTTGTGGGAGAAGCAGGTGTGGCGCTGGAAATTGGGGGAGGGGAGGGGAGGGGAGGCTAAGGGAGGGAAAAGGAACAATGTAGTGATTCAAGGATTCTCACAAGAGAGCGTGACGAAGTGTGGACCAAAGGTGGGAGAAAGTGCTAGATGCAGAGAGAAGTGGCGGGAGTGAATGCAGTGAGGCAGGCGGAAGTCAGCCAGGAGTGAAAGGTGTGGAGTTGGATGTTGGAGTGGCAGGAGGGAGTTTGGAGAGAAGGGAGCAGGGAAGGAAGGAAGGGAGCAACGGCAAGGTGGGACAGATACTTGAGGGTTCGGGCAGACGGGCAACATGTGAATCAAATCCATGAGGGTTCGGGCGGGTGGACGACAAGTGGGGGGCAATGATTACGTTATCGCTGGTGGTGGCGCAGCGGCGGGTGCGAGGCATCACTTTAATGCGGCGCGGCACAGTCACCGTCCAGCTTGAAACCTGTGGACAACAAGACCTCTGGAGATGTGGTGACACCTGCGCACACACATCGCCCCCCCCCCCCCCCAGACATTCCAACAGGCCTGTGTGCATTCGACGAGGACGAGTCGCAAGTCAGGGCATGGCAGAGCCTGGTGTTGCGGTAGGCGATTGGGATCAGGGGAGGGGTTGGGAGGGGTACAGGAGGGGAAGGGAGGGGAAGGGGTTGGGGGGATAGGGGAAGGGCAGGGGAGGGGGAATGAGAAGGAGAAAAGGGGAGGGGAAAGGGGTACGGGTAAAGGGAGGGGGTAATGGGAGCGGGAATGCGTCCAGTGGAAAGGGAGCAGGTAAGGGGAGGGGGGCGGGTCAGGGGATGGGGGGAAGGTAAAGGGAGGGGAAGGGGATACGGGTTAAGGGAGGGGTAAGGGGTGGAGGGTGAGGGGGTGGGTAAAGGAGGGCGACGGGGCAAAGGGGACTGCGTGCGTACGAGTAACGAGATGGGATAGGGGAACGTTTGAGATAGTCCTGAGATGGTGCCTTGGCAAGCAGAATGGGTGTGCAAGTAGGTGCAAGAGGGCATGGAACAGCAAGCAGGAGCGGAGAAGAGCTAGATGGGTCAGGGATGAGGAGAGGGGTGGGAGAGGAGGAACTGGGCATGGGTGGGTGGGAAGGAAGAGTCGGAGCTCCAACGTGTCCTGAGTGGCCTCTGCCAGCCCCATCAGCAGCCCTCCCTTCAACGGCCCCTCCCTTCGACGGCCCCTCCCTTCGAGTGGCCCTCACACACGCACACACCCCCACCCCACAGCGACTGCTCATGGCCTCTCACACACAGCTCTAGCATATAGCCTCTCACACACAGCCTCTCACATCGCCAGCCGATCGTACCCCCCCCACCCTTTCATCCTGCGTTTTTTCAACCCCTTTCTTTCACCCTGCCTTCTTTCCGCCTCATCAACAGCCCCCCTCTCGCTGCCCCCCACCCCACCTTTAACCCCCCTTCGCCCCCCCTTAGCCCCCTCTTTTAGTCTCCTAAGTGAATCTCACACGCGTCTCCACCCCTCAGGGAGCGACGTGCCTTGGCGATTTCGAGCTTGTCAATTGCCCGGCAGCCCAGCAAGGGGCTGCTGCACTTAATTCCTAGCCTCAGTTGATTCGAATTAGACGTACCTATAGTGTAAGCGGCTGCTGCAGGTGATGCATTTCTTCAAGGAGAGAAGCTCTCTTTCATGTCTGCCAATTCTGAGCATGCAGCGGGGGCAGGTAGGGCGGGCGTGCAGTGAGGGCAGGTAGGGCTGGGCGTGCTGTGAGGACAGGTGGGACCCGTGAAAGGGTTTCCGTTGCACTGGAACATTCTGCCACAAGCACAGCAGAATATTACATGAAATTCTCGCTGACCAGAGGGCGTTTGAGGCGCCTCAGACGCTGACCAGAGGATGCAATCATGCAAAGTGCGCGTCACTTTCATGGAACCTCCACGAAAGGGGGGAGGCACAGCGTGTTAGGAATTCGCATGACTCACCGTCAGATCACCCCTCTTGTCGCTCGGGAAGTTTCCAATTGCTGCCTTTGAGGATTCTCACATGCACCCACAAGGGTCGCCGCCAGCTCTCAGATAGTATCTGAGCGCATCAGATTTTCCACACAGCGGAACCGATCAAGTGCCCCAAAGGAAGTTTCATCGTCGTAATTTTTTTTTTCCTGAAGTACGTTCAGCCGCGGCCATGGCGTGATTGACCTGCGGCGGGATATTGATCAGCGTCACTTGTACGGTGTCGCTGGCAGTGGGAGCAGTCGCCAGCAGCAGCAGCGGCACAACCCAGCAGCAGGCCGCAGCAGCAAGAGGAGCTGCGCGCCGTCGGCGCGAGGCGGGAGTGCGCAGCAGCATTTGCCGCAGCAGCGGCGGGAGCTGCGCGCCGAGCGAGGCTGGAGTGCGCTGATCGTGTCGGATGGAGTCGAGTCTTACAATGCTGCAACCTAGCAGCATCTGGCGACACGGGCAGGAGGACGGTTCCTTGCTGTAGCTGTTAGCTGAAAACTATGTCTCTCGGTAGCTATTAGCAGGGGCTACTAATAGAACTAATGGCTATTGATAGAGCGACTGCACATGGTAGATTGCATTGACGGCGACGATTCCGCCAATGCGACGACGGAGCGGTGCGGACGGAAAAGCCGCTACGGTTCCATGCACAGCTAGTAGAAACCGCCATCGGTGGACCCCTGGAATTGGGCTGGGCAGGGCACACACAGGCTGCGTTCTGCAGGCGCATCAGCCCGCATCAATGTACATTGATGCGTTCTACCATGGTTCCAGGATTTTTCTATGATAACCTGCCGGCAGGTTATCAAGGTTCACGATAAGCGCATGGCTGCCGAAGCAAAACAGACCAGAATGCCTGCAGAACGGCCTTTTAGGCTTACGAATTTTTTAATGTGTCTGCTTTCCAAGAAGCTTCCTTTCCTAGCAATCGGGCGTATCACTGATGCGCGCATCATGCGACTTCGAAAACTCGGATCATGCGCGCATCAGCTGATGCGCTGCAACCTCATTGGCCAATCAGTTTAGCCAAACCAAAATTCAGCGCCGAAAAAGCTTCCAAGAAACCTGTAACATTCGCAATTTTAAAATTGGTCAGGACATTGAATGTCCAATTTCCTGACCTCAATTCAATTTCGTCGGATTTTCCAAACCTCAATTCCAAATGTCCGAACCTCAATTTCTCAATTTCCAATTCGCAATTTCCGAACCTCAATTTCTCAATGTGCGGATCAGGCCGAGCCTCAGACGCATCAGAGCTGATGCGCCTGCAGAACGCAGCCACAGCTCAGAGATTAGGTTTGGAAGCTGTATTGGTTATATAACAGTACAGAACTCTAATGACGAGAATGTGATTGACAGAAGCCTCCTTACACACGAGCACAACCTTGCTAGGCAAAAACCTCGGAAACCAAGGTTTGGAGAAAGGCGGAATCGAAAGGTTCGGAAGCGACACGAGTCAGCTTCGGTTTCGTCAAATCGCTCGAGCCTGATCCCGTCATGTTCGGGACTTCGTGCCAAACCAGTGTCTTCCCATTCCAAAAAAAACGAGCCGACCTCCAAACCAAATTCTCCGCCTACAACATCAATTCGGTTCGCCAGGGACATTTTTCCGGTCGAGCCTGGCGTACGACCTTTTGATTCGGCACGGGAAAGCTAGGCTAGCCGTGCCAGACGTACGCCCTTTGGTTGGGTACCTCTGCCAGACTTCACGTCCCTCCCTATTTTTGCGAACTCAACGGAACCCCGCAGTGTTCGGAGCTTCGCACATGAACGAAGTTGGGAATTCTGCAGTCAGGAGGCAGAACCAAATCCAGGGCAACTCGCCTCAGCGGTCTCTGAGGACCTCCTCTAAAAATGACCTTCAGGGGCCGCTGCTCAAGCAGAAAGCTTGTGTCAATCAGAGCATAGTAGACGTACCGTACATCGTAGAGGGCGCATGTTATGAATGACCTTGCAGAGTGCGCAGTAAAACGAATAACGAGAATACTGAATTACTGAATGACTGAATCAATGAAGTAGCGAGGCCTAAATAGGGGAAAAGCTAGCTAGGCGGGGGGTTCGGGATGGGATGGCTCGGTGATGGTTGCGATTGGAGCGGAGGCCGACTCGGGAGTGGTTCGCTGCGACGAAATAGGCCCAACAGGTTCGTCGCGTGACCCTCGGGATGGCCTCGCTAACGAGTGCCTCAGTAAGGATTTGTAAATCCTTACAGCGCAGCTTCCCCGTGAAAAAAGGAGACCCGAATCGCCTCTACGAAATCAGTACGCATCGTGACGCCGAATTCTCTGTACCCATTATCTTTCGCGCATCGTGTCCTCTCGTCTCTTTTCTGACCCGCTCGTCATCTTGCCTCCTTCCCTCTTGAAATCCCTAAGCCTCGCCTCACTCAGCACGCACCGCAAATCGACTTACTCCGCGCCGCTGCTGAGTCGCTTCGAGGGCCGCAGAAGATTGTCTAAGAAACACTAATTTAAGGTAAGCATCCCTATCTTTTCCCCAATCGGACCTCCGCATTGCAAGCCTTGCAAGCCTGAGCCCGAGGCTCACATCTTACGAATCATGGTGCTTGTCTCAGAGCCCGGCGATCTGCAGCTTTAAGTTACAACTAGCAGAGCCCCTTTGCGCATTCTTGCCCCTCGTAGCATTGATCCCCCGGCCCCTTCCTGTGTTGTGTTTCCTCGCCCTGGTTCATCGAGACCCTCACGCTGTCACTCACTCAGGCAATGACCGTCCAAGCCTGGTTGTCACCAACCGCGTTGTTAGTTTGGGTCCTTTCCGTGCTGCTATTTATTCGTTAATTTCATTCACCATGATGTCACTGACTTGGGCTCTGATTGACCTAGGCTTTGATTGGCCTAGGCTCCGATTGACTTAGGTTCTGATTGCGTCTGATTGACCTAGGCTCCGATTGAGCTAGGCTCTTATTGACCTAGGCTCCGATTGAGCTAGGCTCTTATTGACCTAGGCTCCTATTGACCTAGGCTCTGATTGACCTTGGCTTTGTCGTAGGCTCTCATTGTTTCTCCGGCCCTTTTTCGTTCTGTGTTTCCTCGACTGCTTCATACACTCACACTGCCACTCACCCAGGCTTTGACCAACCTAGCCTGTGACTTATCTCAGCTTGTTGTGACCAACCTAGGCGGTGAGTGACAAAGCCTGTGACTGATATTGCTGTAACTGACTGAACATGTCAGACCTAGTTTGTGAATGACCTATGCAAGTGCGCAGGCCGAGTCCATTGGACTCGAGTCAAGTCGGCCCTAACTCGAGGCAACTCAAGAGTCGAGGTTGACTTGACCTGGTAATGTCGCTTTTCAGTCGTATGAAGTGTGTGCTTGTAGGTCGATTTGGCTGGTGGTTTAAACACTATAGATACATTAATGCTCCAGTCATGAATCACTATGAGCTGAACTAGGAACAGCCTAAAACTAAAGCTGATTAGTACCTGTGGCGATTGTAGCCTATTGACTGACCTTACTTGTGTCGGGCCTACCTTTTGCTTGACCTAGCCTGTGAGTGTCGTAGGCTGTGAGTGTCGTATGCATTGCCTCTGACTTAACATAGCCTGTCTGTGGGGAGCAAGCCCCTGATTCGCCTTTATTTAGTCTGAAATAATCCGCGAGTGACCTAGTCAGTAAGTGACCTAGTCAGTGAGTGACCTAGTCAGTGAGTGACCCAGCCAGTGAGTGACCTAGTCAGTGAGTGACCTAGTCAGTGAGTGACCTAGTCAGTGTGTGACCTAGTCAGTGTGTGACCTAGTCAGTGTGTGACCTAGTCAGTGTGTGACCTAGTCAGTGTGTGACCTAGTCAGTGAGTGACCTAGTCAGTGTGTGACCTAGTCAGTGTGTGACCTAGTCAGTGAGTGACCTAGTCAGTGAGTGACCTAGTCAGTGAGTGACCTATCTTCGGACTGACTGACTCAATCTGTGACCAACCTAGAGTACTAAACTAGCCTATGTGCGGCCTAGCTTGTGTGCCCGACCTTCCGTGGGATGTGAGTGACTTGTGTTGTAACTGATCTAGCCTGTATGTGATCCAGCTTGCGACTAATTTTGTGAGCGACCTTTTTCTGACTGGATTATCCTGTGACCACCGACAAGCTAGATGGTTTTTCTATCACATCGTCTGATCCGAACAGTAGCTAGAGCTTCCAGGTCACTTCAAAGCAATTCCAATCCCTCTCCTTACCACCGATGACCCCTCCCGACCACTTGAAATCCCTCACCCCGTGATATTGTGGTGTGATTTATGGGTCAGCAATGGTCGAAGTGAGCCAGCCTTGCTGCTACCTGCTTCTTTTCACTTTGCTTGTGTCATGGCCGCGCTGATCCCGGCTCTCTCCGAGGAGCTGAGAATGAATTCTAAACATGTGACTCAGAATGAATGCCTGAGCTGAGGAGACTCTCCGCAAGCTGCCGCGCTCGCCACTAGCCTTGCTACTCGCAACCCACCCTGTCTCGACCAGTTCAGGGGATTTGGTCTCATGTGGTTGGTGTAGGAGGGAGGGAGGGGGATGGTCTGAAGGTGCAATGGCTATGCTGCTGCTGCTTGGTTGGGTTGATGGGGAACCAGATGGGATGGTTATGACGGGCAGAGGAGGAGATGATAAGATGGGGAGGAATCCTACTTTGTCTATGGAGTGACCATGCTGCTTCAGAATCAGACCAGAGTGCGGATGATATGATTGGTACTTCAGATGCACCATGCTAGGCAGTGGGCGAAGGTGCAAAAGGAGTAAGGCAACAATGGACGGGAGAAGAAAGATGATGTGATTCAGATTTCGTCGCCTACCCAACTTCTCTCACCTCTGTGTTGGCACGTCGCCCTACCCGTCAGCATGCGCTTGCTTGCATCTCATCTTCACGTAAAGCATAAAATATCTACATGAGCAGTGTGCAGCTAACGCCCACTTACACGGCTACTACTGCCTCGCTCCTCTCCCCCATGCCTGCGTGCACCACTTCTCGCACACTTACTCTCGTGGCTCTGCCATGCTGCCAGGCCGTGTGTTGCAGCGATAAGCTGGGCACCTCACTCATGGACGTTGGGCACCTCACTCATGGACGTTGGGCACCTCACTCATGGACGTTGGGCACCTCACTCATGGACGTTGGGCACCTCACTCGTGGACGTTGGGCACCTCACTCGTGGACGTTGGGCACCTCACTCATGGACGTTGGGCACCTCACTCATGGACGTTGGGCACCTCACTCATGGACGTTGGGCACCTCACTCATGGACGTTGGGCACCTCACTCATGGACGTTGGGCACCTCACTCGTGGACGTTGGGCACCTCACTCGTGGACGTTGGGCACCTCACTCATGGACGTTGGGCACCTCACTCATGGACGTTGGGCACCTCACTCATGGACGTTGGGCACCTCACTCATGGACGTTGGGCACCTCACTTGTGGACGTTGGGCACCTCACTCGTGGACGTTGGGCACCTCACTCGTGGACGTTGGGCACCTCACTCATGGACGTTGGGCACCTCACTCATGGACGTTGGGCACCTCATGGACGTTGGGCACCTCACTCGTGGACGTTGGGCACCTCACTCATGGACGTTGGGCACCTCACTCGTGGACGTTGGGCACCTCACTCATGGACGTTGGGCACCTCACTCATGGACGTTGGGCACCTCACTCATGGACGTTGGGCACCTCACTCATGGACGTTGGGCACCTCACTCATGGACGTTGGGCACCTCACTCACGGCTAGTTCATGGACGTTGCCGTTGACGCAGGAAAGGGAGGGGTTGTGGGTGAGGGTGCACATGGTAGGGGCGCAATTCAGAGAACGTGGACCACACAGCTCATCTGCCAATGTGGCAAAGGTGAGTTTTGAGGCGCCTCAAAACTCAATTTGAGGCGCCTCAAAACTCAATTTGAGGCGCCTCAAAACTCGAATTCAGAGAACGTGGACCACACAGCTCATCTGCCAATGTGGCAAAGGTGCCTTCCAGTCCGCGCGGATTTGCTCACCTCCAGGTTGGCACCATCGTCTGCCCAATGAGACGGTGCATCATCCCACCCGTTCAGCCCGTGCCTCACCCATACCATAGCAGAGCTGCTTCAGCCCTGCTGCGAGACATGGAAGAGAGGCGTGGAAGAGAGGTGAATCTGATTCACCTCGAGGGGTGTGGGAGAGAGGTGTGGGACATGGAGACCCTCATTTTCTACCCCTGCCTGTCTAACCCAATTGTTCAACCTTGCTGGTTTACCCCGGTCTATCTATTTTAGTCTAGTAGCCATGCCAGCCATAGCAGCACCAAGGCCATGGCAGCTCAAACAGCAGCACCAAGGCCATGGCAGCTCAAACAGCAGCAACCTCCAGTGCTGTGAGCTGCTCACATGCAGGCAGGCACACCAGTTGGACAGCATGGGTCAAGCAAGCAAGAAAAGGCACAAAGGGCCTGTGAGTGAAGCGAGGAAGTGAAGCGAGAGAAAGAGGCACAATGGTGTGTAAGTGAAGCCAATTCAGGCAAAATTTTGTGCATGAAACAAGCACAACGGGCCACAATGGGCTGTGGGCCAAAATAAGAATGTGCGGTGAGCGTGGATCGAACACGCGACCTGTAGATCTTCAGTCTGACGCCCTCCCAACTGAGCTATCCCCACCAATTTGGAGATGCAGGGTATTGATCCCCGTACCTCTCGCATGCTAAGCGAGCGCTCTACCATCTGAGCTACATCCCCGTTGGAGGCCAACGAGGGCCCTTCACCAATCGCATGGATTCCAGGAGAGAGTAGGGAGGATGAATGTAGCATAGGAGAGGATGGGAAAGTAAGAGGTGGGAGTAGGAGGGGAGGAGGGAGGGTAGAATGAGGAGGCAGCAGTGGCACCGCAGCCAGAAGCAAAGAGAGAGTGAATAGCCACTAGTCAATGCAATCTGACTCACCGACTGGTTTCGATGAGCCTGAGGCCCTGAGGCTTGTTATGAAAAGGAGAGGTTGAAGCTTTGACCAGGCAAGGGCGAGCAGATGTCGGACCCCTCTTGCTGCTGTCGGGCGAGCAGATGTCGGACCCCTCTTGCTGCTGTCGGGCGAGCAGATGTCGGACCCCTCTTGCTGCTGTCTGAGTGGGCCCCAATTAGGTTCATTGGTGTGGTGGGTGGGGGGTGTTAGTGGTCACCCTGGCACCCGCGGTGGTGCTGGGTGTTAGTGGTCACCCTGGCACCCGCGGTGGTGCTGGGTGTTAGTGGTCACCCTGGCACCCGCGGTGGTGCTGGGTGTTAGTGGTCACCCTGGCACCCGCGGTGGTGCTGGGTGTTAGTGGTCACCCTGGCACCCGCGGTGGTGCTGGGTGTTAGTGGTCACCCTGGCACCCGCGGTGGTGCTGGGTGTTAGTGGTCACCCTGGCACCCGCGGTGGTGCTGGGTGTTAGTGGTCACCCTGGCACCCGCGGTGGTGCTGGGTGTTAGTGGTCACCCTGGCACCCGCGGTGGTGCTGGGTGTTAGTGGTCACCCTGGCACCCGCGGTGGTGCTGGGTGTTAGTGGTCACCCTGGCACCCGCGGTGGTGCTGGGTGTTAGTGGTCACCCTGGCACCCGCGGTGGTGCTGGGTGTTAGTGGTCACCCTGGCACCCGCGGTGGTGCTGGGTGTTAGTGGTCACCCTGGCACCCGCGGTGGTGCTGGGTGTTAGTGGTCACCCTGGCACCCGCGGTGGTGCTGGGTGTTAGTGGTCACCCTGGCACCCGCGGTGGTGGTGGGTGTTAGTGGTCACCCTGGCACCCGCGGTGGTGGTGGGTGTTAGTGGTCACCCTGGCACCCGCGGTGGTGCTGGTGGTGCTGCTACTTGTGCTGCTGGGATGGGATGGGGATGAGGATGGGGATGGTCCGGATGGGGATAGGGATGGGGATGGGTATGGGGATGGGGAAGGGGAAGGCGGGACAATGATGGAGAGTGAAAGTTGCTCTATGCACACCTTGAGGGTGATTGATGGAGGGGGGCAGCAGGAGGGGCTGGTGAGACAGCCAGGTGGGGCCAGAGGGAAATGCCGGTGCAATGGATGGGCATGGGGAAGTGGCAATGTATAAGTAGCTTTGTTTGGAAACACGACGAGTGATTGGGCGAGGGGGTGCCATTGGGAGGTGACGGGGAAACAGCCCAGGAGGGGCATGCAAGTGAGGTGGATGAGAGAGAAGTGGCGAGCAATGGGAAGGGGTTGAGGGGGAGAGGGGGGGAGTGCAAGGAGCGATGTTCTAGACTGCACCTGTTAGTTCCACGCTATGTTGCACTATACGCGACTGGCGTACCAGTCGCGCTCGTACTATACGCCAACGTACGAACGTCGTACGATGGATTTCCGCCCCCTTGATCCGCTCAAAATACGGAGTCTCGGGCAGGGGGAAAAGGTTCCGGGCAGGGGAAAAAAGTGTCAGGAGTGAGTGATGGTCCCTATATTCAATGTTTCTTGCCGATCTGCGCCGATCTGCTGGCGGAATACTAGAATCGCGCGGATCTGGCGGCGGAATGCCAGATCTGCGCCCCTCTGCCAACTTGAGTCCAGCTGCGACATTAGCGGTCCAGGCTAGGCGTATAGTGCAACATAGGTTCCACGGCATTGCATTCATAGGGCACGCACCATGCACATAGAATGAAGCACCTTGAAAACGCCACTGCAAAGCATTAAGCTGGGTGGCATTAAGCTGGGCGGCATTCAGCTGGGCGGCATTCAGCTGGGCGGCATTCAGCTGGGCGGCCCAACAAAATCAGCCGCCTTCAAGACCAGAAAAACATGAAGGACAGCTGAATCATCTGGGATTGACTAGAGCGACCTGAGAGTGACCTGAGAGTGACCTGGGTGGGAGGGACCTGGGAGCCCAGCCTCGACTCACCCATTGCCAGCTAGGGACTCACAACCTATTAAGCAGCCCACTACCCTCACTCAGAAACACCCCTCAAAACAACCATCTCCTGCTCCCACCGCTCGTCCATGCGAAAACGCCACCATGTTTTACCCAGCAGCCCGCCTAGCTTTGCCTGTTGCTGACCAGCTGACCCATAATAACTTGCCTACATACCTTTCAGCACGCACCACGTCAGCAGCCTCTGCCGTGCTGCTGTGGGGGTGAGCAGTGCGCTGGCGCCGTGGGGGTGGGAGAGGTAGGTGGAGCAGATTCGGTGTAGGAGACGCAGGTGCAGAGCTGTGTGGGGCAGGGGGAAAGGGGGGTGAGAGGGTATCAGAAGGGGGAGGGGAGGGAAAGGAGGAAAAGGGACAGCGGCTTATGGGAGGAATGTGGTGTGGGAGGCAGTGCTGTAGGGTGCGAGCCTGTGGGCCACAAGTTTGTACAAGAGAAGCAGGTGCTGAGCTGGGGGGAAAGGGGGGGGAAGGAAGGGGACAGAGCATTGATGAAGCGCAGGGAGTGCACTCAGCAGCCCGCAGGGTGAGCAGTGCGCAGGTTCGCCCTGACGCCAATCTAGGCGCCAATGTGGAAGTTGGGAACAGTCTGCACCGCAGGAAATCATGGGCGAGAGACAGGTGCAGGAGAAGCAGGTGCGGTGCAGAGTAGCTGGTGGAGAGACAGGGGAATGGTTGGGGGAAGTGGCAAAGGGACTGGAAAGGACAGCCCGTGGTTGAGAGCAATGCGTCACACCATAGGGCCACAAATCGCGGGCCAGAGGGTGCAACAGGTGCGGAAATGGGGGGACGGCTGGGGACGGGGGAGAAGGAGGAGGGTATGGGGAGGGGAGGGAATGGTGCGACTGCTGTGGGGGCCGAGTCCGTGGGCAGGTGAAGGAGAACCAGGTGAAGGAGAAGCAGGTGAAGGAGAACCAGGTGAAGGAGAACCAGGTGAAGGAGAAGCAGGTGAAGGAGAACCAGGTGAAGGAGAAGCAGGTGAAGGAGAAGCAGGTGAAGGAGAAGCAGGTGAAGGAGAACCAGGTGAAGGAGAACCAGGTGAAGGAGAAGCAGGTGAAGGAGAACCAGGTGAAGGAGAACCAGGTGAAGGAGAACCAGGTGAAGGAGAACCAGGTGAAGGAGAACCAGGTGAAGGAGAGGCAGGTGAAGGAGAACCAGGTGAAGGAGAACCAGGTGAAGGAGAACCAGGTGAAGGAGAACCAGGTGAAGGAGAACCAGGTGAAGGAGAACCAGGTGAAGGAGAACCAGGTGAAGGAGAAGCAGGTGAAGGAGAACCAGGTGAAGGAGAACCAGGTGAAGGAGAAGCAGGTGAAGGAGAAGCAGGTGAAGGAGAACCAGGTGAAGGAGAACCAGGTGAAGGAGAAGCAGGTGAAGGAGAACCAGGTGAAGGAGAACCAGGTGAAGGAGAAGCAGGTGAAGGAGAACCAGGTGAAGGAGAAGCAGGTGAAGGAGAAGCAGGTGAAGGAGAAGCAGGTGAAGGAGAACCAGGTGAAGGAGAACCAGGTGAAGGAGAAGCAGGTGAAGGAGAACCAGGTGAAGGAGAACCAGGTGAAGGAGAACCAGGTGAAGGAGAACCAGGTGAAGGAGAACCAGGTGAAGGAGAAGCAGGTGAAGGAGAACCAGGTGAAGGAGAACCAGGTGAAGGAGAACCAGGTGAAGGAGAACCAGGTGAAGGAGAACCAGGTGAAGGAGAACCAGGTGAAGGAGAACCAGGTGAAGGAGAAGCAGGTGAAGGAGAACCAGGTGAAGGAGAACCAGGTGAAGGAGAAGCAGGTGAAGGAGAAGCAGGTGAAGGAGAACCAGGTGAAGGAGAACCAGGTGAAGGAGAACCAGGTGAAGGAGAACCAGGTGAAGGAGAACCAGGTGAAGGAGAACCAGGTGAAGGAGAACCAGGTGAAGGAGAACCAGGTGAAGGAGAACCAGGTGAAGGAGAACCAGGTGAAGGAGAACCAGGTGAAGGAGAACCAGGTGAAGGAGAACCAGGTGAAGGAGAAGCAGGTGAAGGAGAAGCAGGTGAAGGAGAAGCAGGTGAAGGAGAAGCAGGTGAAGGAGAAGCAGGTGAAGGAGAACCAGGTGAAGGAGAAGCAGGTGAAGGAGAACCAGGTGAAGGAGAACCAGGTGAAGGAGAACCAGGTGAAGGAGAACCAGGTGAAGGAGAACCAGGTGAAGGAGAACCAGGTGAAGGAGAACCAGGTGAAGGAGAAGCAGGTGAAGGAGAACCAGGTGAAGGAGAAGCAGGTGAAGGAGAACCAGGTGAAGGAGAACCAGGTGAAGGAGAACCAGGTGAAGGAGAACCAGGTGAAGGAGAACCAGTGAAGGAGAACCAGGTGCAGAATTTCGGGGGAGGGGAAGGGGGAGGAAGGAAGGAAAGGGGCAGTGGCTTATGAGAGGGATGTGGGCGAGAGAGCAGTGCTGTAGGTTTGCGGACCTGTGGGCCAGAAGTTGGTGCGGGAGAGGAAAGGGAGGGTAGGGCTTCTGTGAGAAATGTGTTTGTGCGGTAAGGACAGATGTAAGGGGGTCACATTTTGGTGTGGATCGCACAAGCGTGAAGTTTAATGAGTGGGAAAAGGGAGGGTTATGCGAATGGGGGCTGGGTGGGTGAGAAGAGGGAATCCGAGGTTGGGAGGTGAGGGGAGGCAATTGAGGGGGGTTGGGAAAAAGAAAGAGTCTTATCTTGGTTGCAACCACCTTCTCAACTCACCTGGCCTGCCCAGTTCCCTTCACTCACTCTCGCAGCCATCCCACAGCCCCTCACAGCGATGCCTCAGTTACTCTTCTTCTCAGTTATTCAACTCCCCCACTTCCACCATCGCATCGGAATGACTCGAGTGATTCAAGAGACTCCCAACCGCATCTCCGCCGGCCATTACCTTGGCGATCTCGAGCTTGTCAACGGCCTCCGCCAGCCCCATCAGCAGCCCCCACTTCATCGCCCCTTCACCTCCTTCCCGCTTTCCCGGCCACCGCCATTAGCGCCGCCTATGTCGCTTGAGCGGCTTGAAGATTTTCCCGCTCGTCTTGCCGCATAGCGCAGCGCATGCCTCCAATGCACCTTCGACCTCTCCTTACGTTTCTCCTTCTCGTCATCCATATCCATCAGATTATAGATGCCTATCTTCGCCCTATCCTTTGCCAACATCACCAATATTGCAGAACCTCCGGCTTCACTGGCAGGACCACCTCCATACTGGAAACGGTCCTGGAGATGCCTTAGGGGGCCCAATGGGTGCCAATTCTGTTGGCTGTTTCATGCTGTGCTGAGCTTGACTACCCTGTTCGTTTGTTTGCTTATTGCTACGGGGTACATCCATGCATGCTTGTATCTAGACGCCTATATCAATACACGGACCGTTTGAGAGAAGGGCGTAGGCATAGGTGAAAGGGAGGGAGGGAGGAGGAGAAAGGCAGGAGAACGGAGGAGAAGGGAGAACGGAGGGGGAAAGGAGGGAGAAAGGATGGGGAAGGAGAACAGGGGCGTAGCGAAGGGGAGAGCGTGAGGAGGGGAGCGAAGGGGAGGGCGTGAGGAGGGGAGCGAAGGGGAGGGCGTGAGGAGGGGAGCGAAGGGGAGGGCGTGAGGAGGGGAGCGAAGGGGAGGGCGTGAGGAGGGGAGCGAAGGGGAGGGCGTGAGGAGGGGAGCGAAGGGGAGGGCGTGAGGAGGGGAGCGAAGGGGAGGGCGTGAGGAGGGGAGCGAAGGGGAGGGCGTGAGGAGGGGAGCGAAGGGGAGGGCGTGAGGAGGGGAGCGAAGGGGAGGGCGTGAGGAGGGGAGCGAAGGGGAGGGCGTGAGGAGGGGAGCGAAGGGGAGGGCGTGAGGAGGGGAGCGAAGGGGAGGGCGTGAGGAGGGGAGCGAAGGGGAGGGCGTGAGGAGGGGAGCGAAGGGGAGGGCGTGAGGAGGGGAGCGAAGGGGAGGGCGTGAGGAGGGGAGCGAAGGGGAGGGCGTGAGGAGGGGAGCGAAGGGGAGGGCGTGAGGAGGGGAGCGAAGGGGAGGGCGTGAGGAGGGGAGCGAAGGGGAGGGCGTGAGGAGGGGAGCGAAGGGGAGGGCGTGAGGAGGGGAGCGAAGGGGAGGGCGTGAGGACGGGGAGCGAAGGGGAGGGCGTGAGGAGGGGAGCGAAGGGGAGGGCGTGAGGAGGGGAGCGAAGGGGAGGGCGTGAGGAGGGGAGCGAAGGGGAGGGCGTGAGGAGGGGAGCGAAGGGGAGGGCGTGAGGAGGGGAGCGAAGGGGAGGGCGTGAGGAGGGGAGCGAAGGGGAGGGCGTGAGGAGGGGAGCGAAGGGGAGGGCGTGAGGAGGGGAGCGAAGGGGAGGGCGTGAGGAGGGGAGCGAAGGGGAGGGCGTGAGGAGGGGAGCGAAGGGGAGGGCGTGAGGAGGGGAGCGAAGGGGAGGGCGTGAGGAGGGGAGCGAAGGGGAGGGCGTGAGGAGGGGAGCGAAGGGGAGGGCGTGAGGAGGGGAGCGAAGGGGAGGGCGTGAGGAGGGGAGCGAAGGGGAGGGCGTGAGGAGGGGAGCGAAGGGGAGGGCGTGAGGAGGGGAGCGAAGGGGAGGGCGTGAGGAGGGGAGCGAAGGGGAGGGCGTGAGGAGGGGAGCGAAGGGGAGGGCGTGAGGAGGGGAGCGAAGGGGAGGGCGTGAGGAGGGGAGCGAAGGGGAGGGCGTGAGGAGGGGAGCGAAGGGGAGGGCGTGAGGAGGGGAGCGAAGGGGAGGGCGTGAGGAGGGGAGCGAAGGGGAGGGCGTGAGGAGGGGAGCGAAGGGGAGGGCGTGAGGAGGGGAGCGAAGGGGAGGGCGTGAGGAGGGGAGCGAAGGGGAGGGCGTGAGGAGGGGAGCGAAGGGGAGGGCGTGAGGAGGGGAGCGAAGGGGAGGGCGTGAGGAGGGGAGCGAAGGGGAGGGCGTGAGGAGGGGAGCGAAGGGGAGGGCATGAGGAGGGGAGCGAAGGGGAGGGCGTGAGGAGGGGAGCGAAGGGGAGGGCGTGAGGAGGGGAGCGAAGGGGAGGGCGTGAGGAGGGGAGCGAAGGGGAGGGCGTGAGGAGGGGAGCGAAGGGGAGGGCGTGAGGAGGGGAGCGAAGGGGAGGGCGTGAGGAGGGGAGCGAAGGGGAGGGCGTGAGGAGGGGAGCGAAGGGGAGGGCGTGAGGAGGGGAGCGAAGGGGAGGGCGTGAGGAGGGGAGCGAAGGGGAGGGCGTGAGGAGGGGAGCGAAGGGGAGGGCGTGAGGAGGGGAGCGAAGGGGAGGGCGTGAGGAGGGGAGCGAAGGGGAGGGCGTGAGGAGGGGAGCGAAGGGGAGGGCGTGAGGAGGGGAGCGAAGGGGAGGGCGTGAGGAGGGGAGCGAAGGGGAGGGCGTGAGGAGGGGAGCGAAGGGGAGGGCGTGAGGAGGGGAGCGAAGGGGAGGGCGTGAGGAGGGGAGCGAAGGGGAGGGCGTGAGGAGGGGAGCGAAGGGGAGGGCATGAGGAGGGGAGCGAAGGGGAGGGCGTGAGGAGGGGAGCGAAGGGGAGGGCGTGAGGAGGGGAGCGAAGGGGAGGGCGTGAGGAGGGGAGCGAAGGGGAGGGCGTGAGGAGGGGAGCGAAGGGGAGGGCGTGAGGAGGGGAGCGAAGGGGAGGGCGTGAGGAGGGGAGCGAAGGGGAGGGCGTGAGGAGGGGAGCGAAGGGGAGGGCGTGAGGAGGGGAGCGAAGGGGAGGGCGTGAGGAGGGGAGCGAAGGGGAGGGCGTGAGGAGGGGAGCGAAGGGGAGGGCGTGAGGAGGGGAGCGAAGGGGAGGGCGTGAGGAGGGGAGCGAAGGGGAGGGCGTGAGGAGGGGAGCGAAGGGGAGGGCGTGAGGAGGGGAGCGAAGGGGAGGGCGTGAGGAGGGGAGCGAAGGGGAGGGCGTGAGGAGGGGAGCGAAGGGGAGGGCATGAGGAGGGGAGCGAAGGGGAGGGCGTGAGGAGGGGAGCGAAGGGGAGGGAGTGAGGAGGGGAGCGAAGGGGAGGGCGTGAGGAGGGGAGCGAAGGGGAGGGCGTGAGGAGGGGAGCGAAGGGGAGGGCGTGAGGAGGGGAGCGAAGGGGAGGGCGTGAGGAGGGGAGCGAAGGGGAGGGCGTGAGGAGGGGAGCGAAGGGGAGGGCGTGAGGAGGGGAGCGAAGGGGAGGAGCGTGAGGAGGGGAGCGAAGGGGAGGGCGTGAGGAGGGGAGCGAAGGGGAGGGCGTGAGGAGGGGAGCGAAGGGGAGGGCGTGAGGAGGGGAGCGAAGGGGAGGGCGTGAGGAGGGGAGCGAAGGGGAGGGCGTGAGGAGGGGAGCGAAGGGGAGGGCGTGAGGAGGGGAGCGAAGGGGAGGGCGTGAGGAGGGGAGCGAAGGGGAGGGCGTGAGGAGGGGAGCGAAGGGGAGGGCGTGAGGAGGGGAGCGAAGGGGAGGGCGTGAGGAGGGGAGCGAAGGGGAGGGCGTGAGGAGGGGAGCGAAGGGGAGGGCGTGAGGAGGGGAGCGAAGGGGAGGGCGTGAGGAGGGGAGCGAAGGGGAGGGCGTGAGGAGGGGAGCGAAGGGGAGGGCGTGAGGAGGGGAGCGAAGGGGAGGGCGTGAGGAGGGGAGCGAAGGGGAGGGCGTGAGGAGGGGAGCGAAGGGGAGGGCGTGAGGAGGGGAGCGAAGGGGAGGGCGTGAGGAGGGGAGCGAAGGGGAGGGCGTGAGGAGGGGAGCGAAGGGGAGGGCGTGAGGAGGGGAGCGAAGGGGAGGGCGTGAGGAGGGGAGCGAAGGGGAGGGCGTGAGGAGGGGAGCGAAGGGGAGGGCGTGAGGAGGGGAGCGAAGGGGAGGGCGTGAGGAGGGGAGCGAAGGGGAGGGCGTGAGGAGGGGAGCGAAGGGGAGGGCGTGAGGAGGGGAGCGAAGGGGAGGGCGTGAGGAGGGGAGCGAAGGGGAGGGCGTGAGGAGGGGAGCGAAGGGGAGGGCGTGAGGAGGGGAGCGAAGGGGAGGGCGTGAGGAGGGGAGCGAAGGGGAGGGCGTGAGGAGGGGAGCGAAGGGGAGGGCGTGAGGAGGGGAGCGAAGGGGAGGGCGTGAGGAGGGGAGCGAAGGGGAGGGCGTGAGGAGGGGAGCGAAGGGGAGGGCGTGAGGAGGGGAGCGAAGGGGAGGGCGTGAGGAGGGGAGCGAAGGGGAGGGCGTGAGGAGGGGAGCGAAGGGGAGGGCGTGAGGAGGGGAGCGAAGGGGAGGGTGTGAGGAGGGGAGCGAAGGGGAGGGCGTGAGGAGGGGAGCGAAGGGGAGGGCGTGAGGAGGGGAGCGAAGGGGAGGGCGTGAGGAGGGGAGCGAAGGGGAGGGCGTGAGGAGGGGAGCGAAGGGGAGGGCGTGAGGAGGGGAGCGAAGGGGAGGGCGTGAGGAGGGGAGCGAAGGGGAGGGCGTGAGGAGGGGAGCGAAGGGGAGGGCGTGAGGAGGGGAGCGAAGGGGAGGGCGTGAGGAGGGGGGCGAAGGGGAGGGCGTGAGGAGGGGAGCGAAGGGGAGGGCGTGAGGAGGGGAGCGAAGGGGAGGGCGTGAGGAGGGGAGCGAAGGGGAGGGTGTGAGGAGGGGAGCGAAGGGGAGGGCGTGAGGAGGGGAGCGAAGGGGAGGGCGTGAGGAGGGGAGCGAAGGGGAGGGCGTGAGGAGGGGAGCGAAGGGGAGGGCGTGAGGAGGGGAGCGAAGGGGAGGGCGTGAGGAGGGGAGCGAAGGGGAGGGCGTGAGGAGGGGAGCGAAGGGGAGGGCGTGAGGAGGGGAGCGAAGGGGAGGGCGTGAGGAGGGGAGCGAAGGGGAGGGCGTGAGGAGGGGAGCGAAGGGGAGGGCGTGAGGAGGGGAGCGAAGGGGAGAGCGTGAGGAGGGGAGCGAAGGGGAGGGCGTGAGGAGGGGAGCGAAGGGGAGGGCGTGAGGAGGGGAGCGAAGGGGAGGGCGTGAGGAGGGGAGCGAAGGGGAGGGCGTGAGGAGGGGAGCGAAGGGGAGGGCGTGAGGAGGGGAGCGAAGGGGAGGGCGTGAGGAGGGGAGCGAAGGGGAGGGCGTGAGGAGGGGAGCGAAGGGGAGGGCGTGAGGAGGGGAGCGAAGGGGAGGGCGTGAGGAGGGGAGCGAAGGGGAGGGCGTGAGGAGGGGAGCGAATGGGAGGGCGTGAGGAGGGGAGCGAAGGGGAGGGCGTGAGGAGGGGAGCGAAGGGGAGGGCGTGAGGAGGGGAGCGAAGGGGAGGGCGTGAGGAGGGGAGCGAAGGGGAGGGCGTGAGGAGGGGAGCGAAGGGGAGGGCGTGAGGAGGGGAGCGAAGGGGAGGGCGTGAGGAGGGGAGCGAAGGGGAGGGCGTGAGGAGGGGAGCGAAGGGGAGGGCGTGAGGAGGGGAGCGAAGGGGAGGGCGTGAGGAGGGGAGCGAAGGGGAGGGCGTGAGGAGGGGAGCGAAGGGGAGGGCGTGAGGAGGGGAGCGAAGGGGAGGGCGTGAGGAGGGGAGCGAAGGGGAGGGCGTGAGGAGGGGAGCGAAGGGGAGGGCGTGAGGAGGGGAGCGAAGGGGAGGGCGTGAGGAGGGGAGCGAAGGGGAGGGCGTGAGGAGGGGAGCGAAGGGGAGCGAAGGGGAGGGCGTGAGGAGGGGAGCGAAGGGGAGGGCGTGAGGAGGGGAGCGAAGGGGAGGGCGTGAGGAGGGGAGCGAAGGGGAGGGCGTGAGGAGGGGAGCGAAGGGGAGGGCGTGAGGAGGGGAGCGAAGGGGAGGGCGTGAGGAGGGGAGCGAAGGGGAGGGCGTGAGGAGGGGAGCGAAGGGGAGGGCGTGAGGAGGGGAGCGAAGGGGAGGGCGTGAGGAGGGGAGCGAAGGGGAGGGCGTGAGGAGGGGAGCGAAGGGGAGGGCGTGAGGAGGGGAGCGAAGGGGAGGGCGTGAGGAGGGGAGCGAAGGGGAGGGCGTGAGGAGGGGAGCGAAGGGGAGGGCGTGAGGAGGGGAGCGAAGGGGAGGGCGTGAGGAGGGGAGCGAAGGGGAGGGCGTGAGGAGGGGAGCGAAGGGGAGGGCGTGAGGAGGGGAGCGAAGGGGAGGGCGTGAGGAGGGGAGCGAAGGGGAGGGCGTGAGGAGGGGAGCGAAGGGGAGGGCGTGAGGAGGGGAGCGAAGGGGAGGGCGTGAGGAGGGGAGCGAAGGGGAGGGCGTGAGGAGGGGAGCGAAGGGGAGGGCGTGAGGAGGGGAGCGAAGGGGAGGGCGTGAGGAGGGGAGCGAAGTGGAGGGCGTGAGGAGGCTCGCGGCTCGGAAGTGAGGCGAAAGGTGCGGGGGTGATTCGGGGGTGGTTTGGGGCGAGTTTGATTACCAAACCAGCTAACTCGATATTGTCGGAACTGTGTCCGCAAGAGTGTGGCTGTGTAAGGAAAATTGCTTTTCCTTACTTCGCGTCCCCGCTCAGCGCGTACACCACTGTAGCACCACAGTCAGCAGCGTTACCACTCTCAACCATCGCATCAACAATCCTCCCGCCACCTTCGCCCGTCGCACCCCGACCTCACGGCTCGGCGGGTAACCCGCGCTCCGGGCCTCTGCTTCGACAATTCCCCAAACCTCAGTCCCAGGCCCGTCGCGCGACAACCACAGTTCATTACCGTTACCACTGTAGTTTCGCTATATATTCTTCGCTCATGTCTTCGCTCATTGTACTCATGCTTCGATAGTGCAATTCTCGTTCGTTCACTCAATTGCACTCGTAACACTTGGTATTCAGAGCCTACGACCTCTTCTCGGACCGCACCCACACCTTCGTTTTCCCCACTATCTCAATTTTTTGGGGGGGGGTAGACGTCTCTCAGCGACACAGCACCGCCGCTCGTAGTGCTCTCTCGTAAGCACGCGCGGCCACGACAGAGGCTCTCGTTGAGCTCGCCCGACACCCCCGCCATGGCCGATTTCACGCTCGCGACATTGACGCAGGAGCAGCTCGACCGTCTCGTGCGTCAACTCGAAGATTCGGCACTCGAAATCGCGACACTCACGGCGGAACGTGACTCCGCCCGCCAGCAATCAACGGTGAATGCACCAGCTCTATCACAAGCACCCGCAAATGCACCTGCACAATCAGAAGAACCGATCGTCATCTCATCAGGCACACCAACGCAAAACGACAGCGTGGGACAACGCTCAGGCGCAGCCAGTGATGTCGCCGCTCAATCAATGCCTGGCATGGAGAGAAATCGGGCCGCGCCAAGCCCGCGTGGGCCTCGCGAAGCTCGTCGGCACGTGGAGTTTGCAGCAACAAGTGGCAACCACGACATCATGGCACAAATGCTGTGAAGAAATGAGGAATGAATGAACTAGGAAAGAGGTGGGTACAAGTTACCCCACTACAGCCTACACAGACTATAGCATATAAGTTTGACACACCCCCATAGGCAAAGTGGGGGAGAACAAGAGGTCACAAGACCAGTCAAGCAAAGCAAAGCAAGCTCAGGGTGGATCACAACGTCATCACACAATCCGAGCACAAGAGCAAGGCCAAAAGGCCAGTTCACATGCAAGATCATATATAAAGGTAAACAAGCATGTGCAGGTATAGATAGATCACAGTACAAGCAAGGTCAAGAAGTGAGCAAGTGAGGCCAAGTAGGCACAAGACCTAGCATCGTACAGAAGCGCTGATGATCACCAGGCGGAAGTGCCTTGGTAAAGATATCAGCAGTGTTGGCCTGAGAGGCCACGTAAGCAAGGCGCAGCTGACCACGCTGCTGCAGCTCACGAGCAAGGAAGTAGCGAAGAGCAATGTGCTTCGTTCTGTGCTCCAGTCTGTGCTCCCGACACAAGGCCAGCATGGCCTTGTTGTCTACGTACAGAACTGGAGGAGAACGAGGCGGCTCTCCTAGGTCAGTCAGCAGGTAGGTGAGCCAGCGTAGCTCCTGTGCAGCCATGGCCCCTGCGTAGATCTCAGCCTCACAGCTGGAGCCGAGAACAGAAGACGAGCGGGTAGACCGCCACGAAACAGAGCCGGAGCCAAGGCTGAAGGTGTAACCCTGTGACGACCGCTGCTGTGAGAGTACGACGGCTTATGCCAGCTATGCTTGCTTGCCTTTCCTTTATCATGCTAATTCTAGCATAGGATAATTATATGCATGCAGGAATTGCTTGATTTCCTAGGCTAGGTGCTTTCCTATATTTTATTATAGTTATAGCACCGAGCTAGGTTACGTGCACCGAATTCTGGCTTTTCGGTTGCCACCGAATTGCCTTCTACCGAATTCGGGAAGGATCTGTTCGGGACGCTTCGCGACCCGCGGAACCTTCGCGTAACACCTGGTTACGGGGCCTTGTGTCGAGCCTATATATAGCCTCGTGTTGTACCCAGGTGATCATTCAATTCACATTCTCTTTTCTGAGCTCGATCCTAGATCCTCACACTTGGTAATCAGAGCCCGTTTACACGCGAAGTTCTTTCGACCACTACAAAGCAGTCTTCAAAAAACCGCGGGGGCGACGCAGTTAAACATCGATTTCGGGTACGTAAAACCGGTTCCGTGTTTTTTGCTCCCCCTCGATTCGGTTTTTCGGACGCGTTGATGTCAGGCATGGAAGGCCAAGGCGACAACTACGCGACCACGAGCGACATCGCGAGCCTCCGCACCGACATGGAGCAGACGCAGGCGACGCTTCGTCGACTCGAGGCTTTTCTGACAAGCCAACCAGGGTTCGCCACCTCAGCAGCAGCGACCGCAGCGACTGCAGCACCGACAACTCCAGCAGCAGAGGCGACACCGACATTTCACGGACCGATGGCACCACTGTCGCCGAACCTCGAAGCAGCACGACCGAGGCTCCCTGAGGCGTTCGATCCAAGCGCGAAGGGATCCGAAGTCCGGCGATTTGTGGCCACCCTCGAAATTTACTTCGAGGCCATTGGCTGTTCGACCCCGCAACACGACGCAACAAGGATTCGGCTCGCAGCGACACTGTTACGTGGACCGGCTCTCGAATGGATTTACTACACCGACGTAGCCCGCGGGGAGAAAACGTGGCAGCAGTTTCGGGCAGATTTAATCGAGCGTTTCGAACCAATTAATACGACCTATATGGCGCGGCAGCAGATACACCGACACAAGCAATACAGTAGTGTAGCACAGTACACGCAGCAGATGGAGTTACTGTTCAACCGCATCACCGACCTGACCGAAGGCGAAAAAATCCAGGCGTACACCGAAGGGTTAAAAATGGAGATTCGGCGGCAGGTGATTGCGGCGAATTACAACAGCTACAGGGACATCGTGCGTGCTGCCGAGCGATACGACGCGCTGACTCGAGGTCAACCCAAAACACGACGCTTCACGCCGAACCGTACATTCGGCACGGAGCGATCGGCACCCCCCACGTTCGCCGAACCGATGGATATCGACAAATACGACGCGAAGCAGCAACCGACAAAATGCGAATTTTGCGGCGCAGCAGGGCATCAGTTTTTGTCGTGCTACAAAATGAAGAAAGCACGTGCGGCACTCCGGGACGGAAACAGTGGAGCACCCCCGAAGTAAAAAAACGGGAATCGCCAGTAGCCGCGGATCGACCTGGCGATCGCGTAAAGATCCGAAAAGCAGGAAAAGGCGACGACGTGGCGACTTCGGAGCGGGCGAAAAAAGGAGAAAATGATGGCGCGAATAAAAAACGTCACGACCGGCCGGCATCAGGGGAAATCGCCGAGGCGAATGGAGGCTTCGCGAAAAAAGACTCTGCACCGACCGGGAAACTCCAGCCGAACACCCACGAAAGTAAGAATTCGTTAAAAGTATTCTATAAAGATACTCTAACGAAGAATATTGCTTCTCGTGGTTTTCAAGCCTTTGAAAAAATCAGGGGAGGTTTAGAGGCTAAGAAAAAGCCTTTAGAAATCATTCAGGTACCTGAGAAGTTGGGCAAAGTACTACGGAGCGTAGAAAAGGGTCGTGCGTTCCGTGGAGTTAATATTCTCTCCCCGCAGCACAGTGTTAAGGCTCCCCGTTGCCCACAGGTGAAGCCTACACAGCTGCCAAGGCTTAGAGGAGGCATCCAGGCTCAGGAGAAAATATACAAGCCTCGGAAAAATCCTCCCACCCCCCAGGTGAAGTTGGAAAGTGCTGAGTCGGGTATAGGAAAAAGGGAAGGTATTAAGTTTGATGTACCCTATGATCCTATTAATGAGACCCTCTTTGGCTACTCAGCGCAGCAGAAACCACTACTCCTCGAGGTGTTATGCAATGGACGACGCCTCCAGGCACTAGTGGACAGCGGTGCATCTCACTCGGTGTGTGACCGCGGAGCATTGGAGAAAATTGGAGAGAAGGCGGAGGAGACCCAGTTTTCAGCAACCATGGTGGACGGTACGAAACTTCCTATCCACGGCGAAGCATCACTGCAACTGCATATAGGTGCGTTGAGGTGGAAGCCGAAGCTACCAGTCACCAACATCAAAGGGTTAGATTTCATCTTGGGGCGAGATTTTTTGAAGCGATTCAACCCCGAGATCGATTGGATCAACAGTAAGGTGTGCATCTACAACAACGGGAAGCGGATAGCACTACGAAGCTGGACGGATACAGGAGACGTACCGGAGACGACACTGGCACGGTTCGAACAAACAGTGAACGAGAGTAACACGGGTTACCTAGCACTGGTCATGGCAGCAGCAGAGGAGGAGAAGCCGAGTTCCGAGCTCCCTGCAGCAGTGAAGGAGGTCTTGGAGCAGTACAAAGATATAATGCCCGACGACCTACCTGCAGGCGTACCTCCAGCACGCACCCACGAGCATGAGATCGTGGAGGAACCAGGTGCGAAACCCGTCTCACGTGCACCATACCGACTGAGTCCGACCGAACTAACAGACATGAAGAAACAGATAGAGTATCTACTGGACAGACAACTGATCCGCCCATCCACCTCTCCCTACGGTGCACCAGTTCTCTTCACCCCAAAACCAGACGGTAGCTTACGGATGTGCATCGACTACCGCGCACTGAACAAACAGACAGTTAAAAACAAATACCCCATACCGCGCATCGACGACTTACTAGACCAACTACGTGGTGCAACAATCTTCTCGAAGCTGGACCTACGGTCGGGTTACTGGCAGATCAAGATGGCGGACAACTCGATCCACAAGACGGCGTTCCGTACTCGATACGGCTCCTACGAATACTTGGTGATGCCGTTCGGACTCTGCAACGCACCAGCAACGTTCCAGGCGGAAATGAACCATATTCTACGGCCCCTGCTGGACGAGTGCGTAGTGGTGTACCTGGACGATATCCTCATCTACTCCAAGAACATGAAGGAGCACGTGGAGCATCTGCGGAAGGTGTTCGAGATCCTGCGGAAAAATAAGTTCTACGTGAAGCTGTCGAAGAGCGACTTCGCCCTGAAGAAGGTGCAGTTTCTCGGGCACATGGTGAGTGCCGAGGGCGTACACGTGGACCCGCGGAAGATCGAAGCCGTCAAGAAGTGGAAAGTTCCGGAGAACGTGAAGGAGTTGCAGCAGTTCCTAGGATTCGCCAACTACTACAACAGGTTCGTGCCACAGTACGCTAAGATTGCAGCGCCACTGACCGACCTACTGAAAAAGGATACACCCTTCAAATGGGATACTCCGCATCAGCAAGCCATGGAACAGCTACAGACAGCACTGACCACAGCCCCAGTACTCATCCTACCAGA